TAACACTTGTCCAAGAAAATACTGATCAGCTCAAAATTTTTTTGAGTGAAATTTGGGATGTGACAATAAAAAGGTACGATCTATCAATCCCACAATTATTCGTCTCTTATAGAATAGTGAGTGATTCCATTTATAAATTAGATATTTTCCAGAAAAAGTGGGTTTATGATCTCAAATTCAATTAAATTATTATTCACGACTATCGTAACATCAAAGAAATTAAGTTTATTATTCCTTTTTCCATTGTGAACTAAAATCTCAGATAAAAAGAATTGAAGATCTCATTGAACATGGAAGAAGGAATCGCCAAAGTTACCTACATACCTGTAATAAAATAGCAAATTGAAAGAAATATGTCTAATTCCATCATTAAATCTTAAGTCAACATGAGAGACAACAACACAACGATATATCATTATCAATTTGTAAAAAGCGCAGAATCTGATGAATCATGTTTTTGACTAGTAATTAAAATATAAAAAGTTAATTTATGTATATTTCGTATATTACGCATGTTACATAATATTTCTTTGTATTTATATTTTCACTTGACTTGTTAAATTTAACACATTGGCATATTACAATAATTTGAAGAATTATTGTAATATGCCAATGTGTTAAATTTAACAAGTCAAGTGAAAATATAAATACAAATTTATTACACATTATTTGCAACATGTGCTACCACATATCTGCGAGATACAATCTAACATTTATGCGTTCTAATGTACTAATGTACGTATCAAGGACAGATATTTTTATAATTTGATGTGTCTGCAACACTTTGTAACGCATATTGTTAACGTCGCATTAAAGAAGGATTAATAGATCATTCGAAACGTTCATTTTTAATATAATTATATTTAATTTGAAGTACACGTGTAATCAGAAGAAAGGAAGTATTGTTTCTTCCTTGAGCCCCAATTACCGTATTGTGTCTCTAATTTGCCAATTTTGATTTAATCTTTAATTATGGAAAAATTTTAGTACAACTAATTTTATTGTTATTTTCAATATTAGCGCAACTTTATCTTGGAAATAGATAAATAATTAAAAAAATTAATTACTAATAATTATTCCAAAGAGAAGTGCTCAGATATGTAATCTGCTTGTATAATAATAATCTTGATAAGTATACGTTTCAGAGCAAAGATTTATGAATTTAATATTTTTGCTTATGTATATATGCCTGAATGACGAGTTATTTGTCAATTAAATAGAGTAGATAGTTTGTACTTGCCTGCTGAAACAGAAAATAGGAATATGTTGCCGAAAATCGGAACGCTTGGGGGTCCCGGTATAAGATGAAGAAGTCGTCCTTTTTTTCCATAATGTACGTAATAATAATATATCGACAAAATAAATATGAACAATAACGATATATTTATAAACATTGTTCCTTAACGTTGATATTCTTAATTGTCAAATTTAGCTTATTCTGTTTAGTGTTTTTTTTTATGATTCTTCACATGTATCACAAAATAAATGGTAGTAATTCTCCCAAAAAATTGATAATTACCTTGTTATTCTAAATGTTAATTCTAAATAGAAAGAGACATAAAGAGAGAGTGAGAGAATAATAAGAAGATTACTGAAATGCGTTAATCGTATATTTTTTAAAGTCAATTTTTATTTATGACTAACTTTAAATATTCATGAATAAAACTGCTCATTGTAAATGGAAAAAAATATTATCTATGTAATAAAAAATATATGAATCCAATAAAAATATTTCTAATTTTTCAAACTATTACTTCAATTGCTTTTTATTGTAAAAGATAAAATTTCGTGAAAATTTATTGTAAAATAATTAACAGTATCATAAATAGGACCAGCATTATTTTTATATCAATTCTTATATTAATTTTTGTTGCAAATATTTAACATATAAATTAGTTTTAGTATTAACATTTTAATTATAATTTTATTTAGTTTATAACTGTATGAATGTATATAATTCTTAAGCAATTACATCACAATGTCCACTTAAAATTCATTTCTGTGCAAATCTTTGTTCGAAAGTATCTTACTAGGAAGAGCACGGAAGTGTCCGCTTCCGATTTTGATGAGCTTTTAATATGTTGTTTTCTAGACAAAAATAGGGAACACATATTTTTTATACTTGCTTTATTATTATTATTATTATTATTATTATTATTATTATTATTATTATTATTATTATTATATCTTGTGCCACCTTAAATTAAACAAGTTTAGAGTCTCGTGCGTCACTTTATGCATACATTTTGAGCTTATTTATATTTAACGTTTTAATATCTTATCACATATTAAATATAAATTTGATTTGTTAGTATCAATGTTATTTTAGCTATACACGCGAAGAAAACGTAATTACATAGATAAATGTTCATATTAGTTATCTTCTGTTACGGAAAAACAGGACGTGTTGCGCGAAAAATCGAGCACATGAACGGACACGAATAGGCGTATTACAGACAAGTTTATAATTAATTCTGGAAAATGACTTTTCAAAACATAACTTAATAATATATGGTTGGATTCGTAAAAAAATAATCTTTCACTTGGTAATAAAGAAATTTCAAAATTTAAAAAAAAATATATATTTAGTGGTGGAGGTATTTTAAAAATTTAAAAAAATAAAATAGTTTTGTTATTATTGTAAAGTACTCTTGAAGCCATTTAACTTTTAATTTAAAATTTTTTTTCTATCTCTTATAGTTTCTGAAATATTCATCTTGAAAGGAAAAACCTGATTTTTTCAAAGGGTTTCATGGGGTGTTTTAGCCCCTAGACACGCGTATGGGCACGTATAAAAAAATCGTGTCCTTTTGTGAAGATAACAACATATTAAAAGCTCATCAAAATCGGAGGGGAACACTTCCGTAGCTTTCCTTGTTAGATCTATAAATATACTTTTATAGTTTTATAAAAAGAGTTTTTTATAATAAATCAAAATTATTTAATTAAGCAAACTGTATCAATAAACAAAGAATTATTTTATTAGTTTTTATTTAATTTATATCACAATCATTATTCTATTATATTGTGTTTTCATATAATATACAAATTGTATAATTATCGTGATTTCTTATAAGGGTTCTATCGTTTTGTTGTGTATCTAATTGTTAAACATATTTCTATAAAAATACTTCTGCTATAATATATATTTAATAAAATTATAACAAAAAAAATTGTATAAAACTAACAGCTTGTGATATTTGAAAAATTTATATCAAATATTTATATTAAAATCATGCTCTTAAAATAATTATATTATTATCAACCATTGTTGGGATTTTACAATAATATTATAAAATTTTATTTGATATATTACCTGATAAATTTTCGAATAAAATAATTAATAATTAAAACACTGGAATGTTTAAAATGAAATTGTAAATTTCTCCAAGCAGATACACATGTCAGTAAAACAAATCTTCTCGAACTAATAATGTAAATCTCAGATTTGTATTTATAGCCGTTCATCAGCTCAAGAGTGTATTAATCATCAGAATTTTTTGTCTTGAGATACAAACGATAAAATAATTCCTCTTTGCTTAATCACACAAACGCACACACATACACATATCATTAATCTATATACATACATATATACATATCTATATCTATACACACATACACGCGCGCGCGCGTAGTATTGTGTGTGTGTGTGTGTGCGTGCGTGCGTGCGTGCGTGCGTGCGTGCGTGCGTGCGTGCGTGCGGTGCGTGCGTGCGTGCGTGCGTGCGTGCGTGCGTGCGTGCGTGCGTGCGTGCGTGCGTGCGTGCGTGCGTGCGTGCGTGCGTGCGTGCGTGCGTGCGTGCGTGCGTGCGTGCGTGCGTGCGTGCGTGCGTGCGTGCGTGCGTGCGTGCGTGCGTGCGTGCGTGCGTGCGTGCGTGCGTGCGTGCGTGCGTGCGTGCGTGCGTGCGTGCGTGCGTGCGTGCGTGCGTGCGGGCGTGCGTGCGGGCGTGCGTGCGTGCGTGCGTGCGGGCGTGCGTGCGTGCGTGCGTGCGTGCGTGCGTGCGGGCGTGCGTGCGTGCGTGCGTGCGTGCGTGCGTGCGTGCGTGCGTGCGTGCGTGCGTGCGTGCGTGCGTGCGTGCGTGCGTGCGTGCGTGCGGGCGTGCGTGCGGGCGTGCGTGCGTGCGTGCGTGCGGGCGTGCGTGCGTGCGTGCGTGCGTGCGTGCGTGCGTGCGTGCGTGCGTGCGTGCGTGCGTGCGTGCGTGCGTGCGTGCGTGCGTGCGTGCGTGCGTGCGTGCGTGCGTGCGTGCGTGCGTGCGTGCGTGCGTGCGTGCGTGCGTGCGTGTATTTATAGAGTAGACCGGGAGGAAAAATAACATCGTCATGAAAATAACAAGCCTCCTACTAACCTACATAATATGTCGACTATAATTTTTACTATACAGGGTGTCGCAGACCACCCGTGTCAGCTGAATATCTCAAAAACTGAGCGCGACAGGCAAAAATATTTCAGACAAAAGTTGTATGATTTTAAAGAGGACATAAGATGGTGTCATTAGTTTGACCTTGAAGAGCCACTGGAAGGTCACGTGAAGGTCACCTCCAACTTTTTAAATGGGATACCCTATATGCTTTTATATATTTTTATAACTCATCTCGAGAGCTTTCCAAAACACTATAATTAAGTTAGTTTTCATTAAATACTTTGCGAGTTATGAGGCTTCAAATCATTTCTTAATTTTATTTTTTTTTCATAAACCGTAAAATATCTTGTAAAATTTTCATTTTTTAATTATATTACCTTAATACTTTTATGTACAAAATAGTGAGAGGAATTAATTGGTGTAAAGAAAACACATAATTGTTTTGAAAAAAATGTAATTTGCAATTAACAATTATTAATTAAAGAATATCGTCTAATAAGCTTCCGATTGGCGTGATTAAAACGTCTTAAAACAAATATGAACAATACATTTTGATTTATTATAAATTTATTTATATTTATGTATATAAAAAAATTGAAAAATATATTTTAATTATTATTATCGATATCATAGGAACGTGTGAGAGTTGAAGTTAATACCGTGATGAAAGAGAACGGAGGAAAACTTACCATGAAATCATTGCAAAAGCAGTCAGCCATTTCAGCAAGGATGGCGCAGAGTGTTCGAATCGTACTTTTACGACATTCCCATCCAATTTTATAACATATTTGAATCATTTTCTAGTCAAATAAATATTTTTCAAATGAGAACCATATTGATTTTAAAATGTTAAAAATGTTGAAAAATATCTATAGTTTTTTTAGCAAACAATATACATCTCCATATCTTTACAATTAAATATAATGTTCATATGCAATGTGTATTTTGTTTATAATTGCATATATAATATGTATAACGATTTTCTCGCAATTTGCACATCTTACACTTATGTAGTATTTGTGTTAGTTTTAAATGGCTATTTTCGTGTGATGGGGATGAATCTCATATGAACCGGATGAGAAGGACGAAGTATTACATCGAGCTTCAATTGAATATCCTTTAAATACTCAACGGGCTCCAAATAAAAATTGTGCACCAAAGGAGCTATCATAGCCTTCATTTCTAACAAACCGAATCGTTGACCTAATAATATATAAAATTCGAAGTCTGTCGAAAACTATCAGCATGAAGAGAAACGATAATCACAACCAATTTACCTATGCAATTTCTTGGTCCTGCGCTGAATGGCAGATAGGAATAAGGATGACGATTCAGCATTTTTTCGGGCAAGAATCTATCTGGATCAAATACTTCTGGATTTGGCCAAAAATTAGGATCTCTGTGAACTCCGTAAATATTAAGATGTATGATCGTTCCAGCAGGTACGACATATGAATCTGAAAAGTATTACAAAATTACAAAATTTATAATAAAAAATTTTAAATTAAAAAAAAAAGAATTGTTTTAAGAAAAATAAAATGTACACAATATTCTATTTTTAAAATGTAATATAATATACTAAATTTTACGTTCGGTAATATATGCTTTGTGTTATGTGACATAAAGTGATTAATTACGTAGTTTTACATCTTCCGCAGTATCTCGAAATATTAAAAACACGCTTGGATACAAACGTAGCGCTTCTCTTAAACATCTATCTAAATATGATAAATTTTGCAATGATTTCATGGTAAGTTTCCCTCCGTTCTCTTGCATCACGGTATTAACTTCAACCCTCACACGTTCCTATGATATCGATAATAATAATTAAAATACATTTTTCAATTTTTTTATATGCATAAATACCCTATAAATAAATTTATAATAAATCAAAATGTATTGTTTATATTTGTTTTAAGATATTTTAATTTTTTTGTAATTTTTATATATTAATTTACGTATAGAAAAATAGATTGTAAAGAAAAACTTGATATTTGTATTACTTTGAATAAAAATTTTAATTTAAATAATATATCATAAAATATTGAGATGTACCTGAATATCTTTGTGTTCAGCTAATAATAATAAAGCAAACATTATACCCATTGCTGTAGTATCATGTCCCTATAATCAGATATATAGATATATTATATATGTGCTTAGATAATATGTATAAAAAATTAAAAAAAATATTACATATACATACTTCAAACATGAAAGTATCGACTTCCTCTCTTATGTCCAAATCAGTTAAAGAACTTTCTTGAGATGCAGCTATTAAAAGGTCCAACATGGCTAGCCGCTTTTTTTTAACTAGAAATAAGCAAGGCACATTAACGATTATCACATTTTTGTATATTCCGCTTTAACTATAAAACATTGTTCTCGTTTAAAATGTAAACTTCCTTACAAATAGTAATTCTTAAAAATAGCGATAATTTATTTTTATATCGGACATATAATGCATTATTTTGTGTCATTATATATTATTTAGTGTAAATTAGTGCAAGTATAATTTATAATTTTAGATTGCGAAATTGAATTTAAATTAGAAGCTCTAAGTTCTTACATACTTCCAAATACTTCAACATCTTCTGTCTCCGTCTCTTTATCATCTTCAAGATTCTTTAAGAATCGATTACCTGTGCGATCATGATAAAGTTTTCTTTCCGCGATAACCTATATACAAATACGATATTTAATTTTTGTATTAAATAGCATATTGTATTACATTATAAATATTAATAATGTAATATGTTATTAATATTATGATATTTATTGTAATTTTTAAAAGTGTTTAAAGGACTTGAGATAATATAACTTATAACGTACTTTTTCTGTAAATCCGTGCAATATCTTTAAGATTTTTTTTTGTTTTCTTCCTTGTGATAATAATGAGAATAATAAATCATTATACAAATAAGGCCTTGCTACTCTAAATCGAAATTCATTTATAGTTAATAATTTAGTTAATAATATAGTTATATAATTTTAATAATAATGTTATTTTGTAAAAGTCTTATTTAATGCCATTATGAAGTAATAGAGTAATCTTAACTCTAAATAATCATAGATTGTAGACAATATATGAAAAATTTAAAAGTATACGTGTGACGAAAAAGTTATGTAAATTCTTCTAACGACATTGTATTTTTGTTTAAATATTTTTTTATCGAAGCTAAATATTTTTTAATCTACAAATTGCCCACACAGTTCATTTGTCTTAATTTTTCAAGAGTTTCAAGATTAAAAATAATTTTAAATAAAATATTTAATGGAGCATGCACAATACATTTTAATTGCTAATTACGGGCTTAAAGAAATCGATATTTATATTAACATTGATATAAACAGTTGTTCACATCTGCATCTTCACATGACTTTAATAATCAGTCTATTTTTTAAAATGTGCAGCTAAATCATTATAATAATTTAAAGGATCATAGATATGTCACACAATTATTTATTATACTTTCATGTATTAAATTACCTATAAACTAACAATTCAATTATTTCGTGAATTGCATTTCGATACTGTTGTTGGAATTCGCCAAGATTTTGCAGAGAGACACCCATGGCAGTTTCTAAAATGTATTTATTATTCGTGACATAAAATCCAAAATTCGTAGACATAAAATGTACAGTACGATTGTCCGTGCTAGAAAAAACAACTTTTTCCTCTGACAAAAGTGCATTTAAATACTTTTTAAACGGAAACAATTAATTAAATTACGCACAAATCACAGGAGTGGTGCCTACAGAGTTTTACTATATTATTAAAGATTTTATAAAAACTATGCATGATATTTCAATATCGCTATTTTAAATACAATTTATTTAATAAAAAAACATTTTCTAAATGATATCACTAAAATAACGATTGAAAATAGAATAAATTGATTAGATGACATGTGAATAATTTTGATTCCAACATTTTTAAAAAAAAGTAAACATAAAATAGCGTACAGGTTCAAGTGCCATGTAGCCGTACAATTTTGGCAAATAGCTCGGATTTTTCGTGCATGCGCAATAAACATGGCCTTAATAATGGATAATAAAGGAAAAAGTTGTTTCTTCTAGCACGGACAGTCAAGTTGTGCATTTCGTGTCCGTCCATTCTGGGACTTTATATCAAGATCGAACAATCGAGGATTATTACGAGTGAATATTTAATTGATAGCTTTGATAATAAAAAATCAAATATTATTTATTTTCATTGTACCATTGTATGCGTGCGTGTATCTACGTCGCGGTATGTATGTGTGCGTGTACATGTGATACTTCGTGTTGAAACAAATTCTTTTCTTAAGTTATAGTCATTTAGAATATTACCGCATATCGCGTTTAGCGTATATTCACTAATAAATGGTAATAAATCCTTCACAACTGTCCCTCCGACATCATTCAAAGATTTTGTCATGCAATCACTTTCCTTGATTAAGATATCAACAAACTTATTTAATATATTAAAATGGAATGCAGGAGTTAATATCTTTCGCCGTGTTTGCCATTTAACGCCTGAAACAAAAACAAGATAATGTAAAATTGTGCGATAAAATACAAATAATAGAATATACGATTTATACATATTATAGTGCCTCTCTTACAATTAATTTAATGTTTATTGCCCATTATTAAATAACAATATTATTCTACATTTGTTTCTTTTTATATCGCAAAATTCTTTTATAATCCTTTAAATACATCTTTTCATGAAATTTCTACGGTATGTGTTGAAAGTATTAACTTGGATTTAATTATTATCTTGCCATTAAATCTTTATAGATTGATAAACAAAAAATATACTAAAATTTATTAAAAATGTTTGTCGCATAATGATGTTTGATTTATATTTGAAAATTTTTAACTGAAATCTTAGAGAGATCATCTTTATTATTTCTAGCTAGTTGAGAATATATATCTGGCAAAATTATCTCTCGATATAATCTCATTTGCAGCTTTCTCTTAAATGTATTAATTTATAAAACGATAAAGTTATATTATATACGTTCATCATATAAAAAAGATAATATTTAAATCTAATTGTAATATTTTATTGTAGTTATTTGATTTTTTTGTAATAGAGATAAATTGATAACAAACTTCAGTGCAACCGATATAATTAAGTATTAAATATTTCGAATAAAAGTGAGAAATATTATTTCTAAAAGATGTGAGTCTTATTAAAATTGAATGTATTTGTACAATGCATATTTTATTAGTTACACGAAAATTCCGTTACTTCAAAAAATCATGTTTGTGTCATCTTCGATCAGATTTATTTATTTTTATTTTTTATAACTTTAACGTTTCGACCGATGCAGCAATTCTTATTATTTTTTCATTTATTTAGTTCATTATTTGTTTTCAACTTTTTTTTATTATGTCCACACCAGGGGGTATTAAGGGAGTATTCTAATCTAAAAGCCGAAATTTTGTATGCTATTTTTGTAAATTTTTTTAAAGAAAAGAATGTTTTTTTTTAATGCGATTTTTCTCACAACATCCCAAAAATTTATATGTACATACTTGAAATATATTTCAAAATTTTTATTAAAAAATAATTATAAATAAGTGCGGTACACAAAATTAAATAAGATAAAAAAAAATTTGGTACATGGCTCTTATGATTCTGTCTGTTCTGCTTCTAAAATCTAAAACAAAAAAATCAGAGAGATTTTTAATTAGTATGTGTTTGGCTATAAATATCGAAATGAAAAAAATATTGAAAATTAAAAAAAGTGACGTCATTTAGAAAATTAAATTTCGATTTTTATCATTTTTTCACCATTCAAAAGATGTAAAAATTAAAAAAAAATATTTTAACTTGATTTTGGGAGAGGCTTTAACTATACTTATACTGAAGATGTGTACATATTCGTTTGATCAACTCATATCAAATTGATCAACTGGTTTTTTGGGACATCATGAGATATCATGAGAAGCAAAAAAACGTATTTAAAGATTTTCAAATTGATTACATAGAGATAATTTTATTAACAATCAAGCTAGTGCAAGGCCATACAAGGGATTTTCCTGCTCATAAAAGTCCTACTGAGCTGTTCTCTCTTCCCTGCGATTTAGATTTTCGTCTCTAATGAAATCAGTTGAACGCCGTTTTGAGCGGGTAATACGAGCTTTGTTCCAAAAATTTGCATCTTCGCATACTGTGACCAATAGTGACTCATTAAGTTCGTAACTTTCAAAACCGGTATAAATCCGGTATAAATCCGGTACATTGAAGACAATAAGAAAAGTTGCTATACTTTAATTTTTCCTCCAGAATGAAGATGTTTTGAAGCAAAAATCCAAAAGTCAATAAATTCAAAAAATTTTAGTTATTTATTTTGTATTTCTCTTAAATAACGTTCCAGCAATTCACTAGCTGAACTTAACCGAAATATAATTGCCGATCAATGTTCTATTGTGCATCGCGTTGTCCGAATGCCGAGTGCGCGCCGGAGATCACTCCCTACCGGAGAGCTATAACTTTGCTATAACTGTGTTAATTTTGTAAATTGGAAATCTTTTTGTAGGCATATTTTTCATATTAAATACTTGAAAAATATCCAAAAAAATCCGACTCGCTAGATTATAATATACGACAATAAACCCTTAATATACGACTCCCTTAATATACGACAATAAACTGTAATAAAAAATAACATTAAAATCTTGAAAGTCGCCAGTAGATAAAATAAAAGACGTAATTAAAATCGACCACACTGGCAATTTTATTGATGGTAAAAAATCACAACGTTTCGACCATAGGTTTTGGTCCTTTTCGAGTGAAAATAATTTAGTTAACTTATGTATCGTGAGAAATAAGTCTAGTCTTTCTCTGTGTGTTGATGGAGAGGTTGACATAATAATCTTGACGAAATGATTTCCTTATTTCAATAAAATTGCCAGTGTGGTCGATTTTAATTACGTCTTTTGTAATAAAAAAGTTTGTATGTTAACATTGTTATGTTACCTGTACTGGTAAGGAGACCTGTGCCGAACCAGGGATGTAACAAATTATATAAACGACTTTTATCGATGTGCTTAGTGCTGCTTAGTATTTTCTAAAATCACCAGAAACATATATTATAGCATTCAATTTATTATAGCATTCAATCTTAGACGTACAAATAATTTGTATCTAATTGTATCTCATATCTTAATCTAATTGTATAGAGTTCTGTACCGATCCTTTTTATGTTTTTTAAGAAATATTTTCAGCAAATATCTTCTTGTGAAATACAAGATTCCGCAATCTCTAGCTACAGTAATATCTATAGAGAATTAAATCTTTCCAGAAATTTCTATATTACCTCTAGATCATCTGGATGACGGATAGACACAATAAAATAGTGTAATCCCCATAGTTTCATAATAGGATAATACTTATCACATAGTGTACACAATAATTTCCATTGTTCCACTAAAAAATATATTATAAATATTTATACAAAAATTAAATAAAATTAAATATAATTAAATAAAATTAAATATAATTAATTAAAATTGAATAAAATTGAAAATTATTTTGAATAATAATAATTAAAAATTAATTCAAAATTGGCAATTTTAGAGACACAGCGCAGTTGGAGCGCAAGAAAGAAATAGCACTTCTTTCCTTCTGATTATTCGTATATTTCAAATTAAATATAATTTCACTAACAAATGCGAACGTTTTTAATGATCTTTTGATCTCCTCTCCCCTTAATTTACGTATATTTCGTGTATTGCATATATTACGTGTATTACGCAATATTTCTTTGTACTTATATTTCTATTTATTAGATTTATTGGGATTTAACACAATGGCACATTACATGCGTTCTACTAATCTACGGATCAAGGACAGATATTTTTATAATTTGATGCGTTACGCACTTATATAACACTGTGTAATGCATATTGTTAATATCGCGCTAAAGAGGAATCAAAAGATCATCTGAAACGTTCATTTCTTGTTAATGTAAATGATTATTATTTAGTTATATTTAATTTAAATTACATAGAGTAATCAGAAGGAAGAAAGTGTTGTCTCCTTCTTGCATTCCAATTACTGCGCCGTGTCTCTAATTTGCTAATATTGATTTAATCATTAATTATGGAATTCAAGAATTTTAGTGCTAGTTTTATTGTTATTTTTAATATTAACGCATCTTAATCTTGGAAATAGAATAAATAATAAAAAAATTAATTACAAATAATTATTCCAAAGAGAAATGCTCAGATATGTAATCTGCATATAATAATCTTGGTATACCATTAGGGCAAAAGATTATTAAATTTAATATTTTTGCTTGAATATATGCATGAATGACGAATCATTTGTCATTCAATTAATGCAACTAGAGTAGAAATTTTGTACTTGCCTGCTGAAACTTGGACTAGGAATGTATGACCAAATATTGGAACGCTCGGAGGTTCCGGTAAAAGATGAAGAAGTCGTCCTTTTCTTCCATAATGTACGTAATAATAATATATCGATAAAATAAATATGAATAATAACAATATATTTATAAACATCGTTTCTTAACGTTGATATTTTTAACTGTCAAATTAAGCTTTTTCTGTTTATTGTTTCTTTGATTCTTCACACGTGTCACAAAATAAATGGTATAAATTCTCCGACAAAATTGATAATTATTTTGTCTCTAAATGTTAATTCTAAATGGAAAGAGACATAAAGAGAGAAAGAATAATAGAAAGATCACTGAAATGCATAAATCGTATATTCTTTTTATAATTAACTTTTATTTATGATTAACTAAAAGATTTATGAAACAATATGATAAATTTGTTCATTATTTATGTAAAAAAAAATCTATGAATACAATAAAAATATTTCAAATTTTTCGATCATTACTTGCAATTGTTTTTTATTGTAAAAGATAAAATTTCGTGAAAATTTATTGTAAAATAATTAACAGTATCATAAATAGGACCAGCATTATTTTTATATCAATTCTTATATTAATTCTTGTCGCAAATATTTAACATATAAATTGGTTTTAGTATTAACATTTTAATTATAATTTTATTTAGTTTATAATTGTATGAATGTATATAATTCTTAAGCAATTACATCACAATGTCCACTTAAAATTCATTTCTGTGCAAATCTTTGTTCGAAAGTATCTTACTAGGAAGAGCACGGAAGTGTCCGCCTCCGATTTTGATGAGTTTTTAATATGTTGTTTTCTAGACAAAAATAGGGAACACGTATTTTTTTATACTTGCTTATTATTATTATTATTATTATTATTATTATTATTATTATTATTATTATTTTATCTTGTGCCACCTTAAATTAAACAAGTTTAGAGTTTCGTGCGTCACTTTATGCATACATTTTGAGCTTATTTATATTTAACGTTTTAATATCTTATCACATATTAAATATAAATTTGATTTGTTATATCAATGTTATTTTAGATAGCCACGCGAAAAAAACGTAATTACATAGATAAATGTTCGTGTTAGTTATCTTCTGTTACGGAAAAACAGGATGTGTTGCCCAAAAAATCGAGAGTATGGACGGACACGAATAGGCGTATTACAGAAAAGAGAGAGTTTATAATTAATTCTGGAAAATGACTTTTCGTAACATAACTTAAAAACATATGGTTGGATTCGTAAAAAAATAACCTTTCACTTGGTAATAAAGAAATTTCAAAATTGAAAAAAAATATATTTAGTGGTGGAGGTATTATAAAAAATTAAAAAAATAAAATTGTTTTATTATTGTAAAGTACTCTTTAAGTCATTTAATTTTTAATTTAAAAATTTTTTTCTATCTATCATATTTTCTGAAATGTTTATCTCGAAAGGAAAAAACTGATTTTTTTCAAAGGGGTGTTTTAGACACGCGTATGGGCACTAAATGGATATAAAAAAATACGTGTCCTTTCGTGAAGATAACAACATATTAAAAACTCATCAAAATCGGAGGGGAACACTTCCGTAGCTTTCCTTGTTAGATCTATAAATATACTTTTATAGTTTTATAAAAAGAGTTTTTTATAATAAATCAAAATTATTTAATTAAGCACTCGCAAATTGTATCAATAAACAAAGAATTATTTTATTAGTTTTTATTTAATTTATATCACAATCATTATTCTATTATATTGTGTTTTCATATAATATACAAACTGTATAATTATCGTGATTTCTTATAAGGGTTTGTTCTATCGTTTTGTTGTGTATCTAATTGTTAAACATATTTCTATAAAAATACTTCTGTTATAATATATATTTAATAAAATTATAACAAAAAAAATCGTATGAAACTAACAGCTTGTGATATTTGAAAAATTTATATTAAACATTTATATTAAAATCATGCTCTTAAAATAATTATATTATTATCAACCATTGTTGGGATTTTACAATAGTATTATAAAATTTTATTTGATATATTACCTGATAAATTTTCGAATAAAATAATTAATTAAATCACTGGAATGTTTAAAATGCAATTGTAAATTTTTCCAAGCAGATACACATGTCAGTAAAACAAATCATCTCGGACTAATAATGTAAATTTCGGACTTATACTTATAGCCGTTTATCAGCTCAAGAGCACATTAATAATCAGAATTTTATGTTTTGACATATCGACGGTTGAATAATTCCACTTTGACAGAACTCATGTATATATACATATATATAGCAGACCGGGAGCAAAAGTCACAGTAGCAACTGTGACAGCGTCAAGATACACATGTGCGTGCATGCGTGCGCGCGCGCGCGCGTGTGTGAGTTTGTGTCAAGCAAAGTGGAATTATTCAACCGTGGATATGTCAAAACATAAAATTTTGATTATTAATATGCTCTTGAGCTGATAAACGGCTATAAGTATAAATCTGAAATTTACATTATTAATTCGAGAAGATTTGTTTTACTGACATGTGTATCTGCTTGGAGAAATTTACAATTACATTTTAAACATTCCAGTGTTTTAATTAATTATTTTATTCGAAAATTTATCAGGTAATATATCAAATAAAATTTTATAATACTATTGTAAAATCCCAACAATGGTTGATAATAATATAATTATTCTAAGAACATGATTTTAATCCCTTTCCGTTCTTTAACAAATCTGACTCGTGATGAAGATTTTGGCCCAAACATGAATATGACGAGCCAGGCTCGTGAACAGATAGTCGGGCCAAACATAAACATCACGAGCCAAGCTCATGAACAGATAGTCGGGCCAAACATAAACATCACGAGCCAGGTTCGTTAACATAAACATCGTAATATAACGGTCGTAATTGAATGTTAGTTCCTATCAGTACACCACGAGAGTTAGAGCCCGCTACCACTTGGGCCGAGTTTCGTCGAGCTAAATGGCACGGAAAGGGGTTAATATAAATATATAATATACATTTTTTTCAAATATCACAAGCTGTTTGTTTTATACGATTTCTTTTGTTATAATTTTATTAAATATATATTATAACACACACACAGAAGTTCTACAGAAATATGTTTAACAATTAGATACATAACAAAACGATAGAACAAACCCTTATAAGAAATCACGATATGTATATATACATATATAGAGCAGACCGAGAGCAAAAGTCACAGTAGCAACAGTAACAGAGTCAGGAAAGTAAGACGCCTCCTACTAACCTGCATAATATATTAAATAATTTTTACTATATAGTCAAGCGGATATGCCCCGATTCCTTTTCTTTTCAGCTAATTGTTGTGGAACGATCGCATATCAGTTTCACACACAGGAAAATTAGTGTATTCACATTATTCATATAAATAATTTTCGTAAGTATTTCTTGTTTCAGTTTTTTTTGTATTTATGCTTAATTAAAGTGTATATATATATTGACGTAATAATTTACCGGTGCATTTTTTTACAATGTGTTCATAAATTTTTATAGTTGATTTGGATAAGTCTTGAATCCTATTTAGGTTATAATACTTTTATTCTAAAAAATGTGTCAGAAGGCAAAAGTAACACAACACTCTGTGGACGAAAATAACATGTTGTTAGGGCTGGTCCCATAATAACTGTACCAATGGCGATTCTTATTATGTATGCCATAATTGTGATTCGGAATAGAATAATAACCTTGTGCCTAGTAATAATAACTTTAACTTTAGTTGGCACTGAAAATAATTATATTTATAGTAACTACAACTATTTCTTTAATCCTTTCTAAAAAAAGTATATTATATTGAAAGTCTCGAAATATATCGTTGCTTTTTTTTTTAATATTGATATGTGCGTTGCGACTTGCTTCATGTTATGTGCGGTTGTGAAATCAGCTATCAATTTTGACAGTTTGCGTAAAATAAAATAAAATTATCATTAAAAATAATATTATCTTATAATATAAGGATTATAATCCCATACAACATCGAAATTTTGCAATAACATTACATAGATTTAATATTGAAACATTGTAATATAATTACTATTATTATCGTTAATATTATGGTGAAATGTATTTATAATATTAAAATGCGTTTTGCTACATGTGCAAAATGCTTTAAGTTTAATAAAAAAACTTTGAAAATATAAGATGATGTTTAAGCAGGATAAGAAAACACGTCTTTGAAAAACGTCCATTAATTTTATTAATTAGTGTTTATAAAATGTTTCTTATCAAATACTTATCTCGATAATATATATACAATTATCTTACATACACTCGACATCAGAATATTTTAATACGTGGAATAAATGGACTATTTTATAAATATCATTTATATATCATTAATCTAATGACTCGACTAGTTTGTGTCATTGCAGAAGATCGATATTGAAAGCAACATGATAATAAAACGAGATGTCACTTCCACGCCAAAAAAATTGTTGTTGAAGTGTTTATAGTGCATATATATGCATATATGTATATATTTTTTAAGTATTTTTTTTTACAAAAACTTGATATTTGTACTTTGATTAAAAATCAATTTAAATAATATATCATAAGATATTGAGGTATCTGAACATCTTTGTGTTCAGCTAATAACAACAAAGCAAACATTATACTCGCTGCTGTAGTATCATGACCCTGTAATCAGATCATTTGGAAAATGGTACATATATATCTCCGTTTCATTTATAATTCTTTTACTTACTACTATGTAATTAAATCGATTAAAAAATTCATTCAGCTTTTAAATTTTATTTTTGTTAGAATATCCATTTACTAAACAAAACTTGATTTAAAATTTTATTGATAATGTATTATATAAAATGAAAAGAATTTGAAAAAGCAGAATATGAATATATTTAGAATACATAGCACAAAAAATTATAAATATAATTATATTACAATTAAAGTGATTATATGAAGTGAGTTTGCACTTATAAAATTATAGAAAGAAAGAGAATGAAAACAAATGAATTCTTCGATTGATTTTAATATAATTGTATGAAATTAATAATACATAAAAAAAAATGTTATTACAAAGGCTTATGTTTTTACAAAGGTTCTTGAAGACCCCAGGCCCAAAATATCTAATGAAACTACGGGATGCTAAGGTTCCTAGTCAGAATTAATTGTCATTTTTAAAACAGTCTAATGATAATTAGTATTTATTTTCAAATTTGTCAATTTTAAATTTTATCATTGTTTTTCGAGCTTTTTACCTCTTACTCTCAAAATAGCTTTCTTGAATAATAAATAATAGAGTTCAATGACGCATAGAAAGTCGTCGTTTTCGGGGATGGGGTATATTATATATATATATATATATATATATATATATATATATATATAAGATTTGGATTGCAATTTATGTCAACTATATCTACGCTAGTTATGCACACCTCCGCCGAATGTTTAACCAGGATATTTAACCAGAACAGAGTCGAGGGTATTAAGAAAGATGCAAACAATATCCATCTCCATATTTTTATAATTAAATATAATGTTCATATACAATCATTCATGCGTATTTTGTTTATAATTGCATATATATATAATATATATAAGGATTTTCTCGCAATTTGCATATTTTACACTCATGTAGTATTTACGTTTTAAATTTTAAACGGCTATTGGCATTTAATGGGGATAAATCTCATATGAACCGGATGAGAAGGACGAAGTATTATATCGGTCTTCAGTTGAATATCCTTTAAACATTCAACGGGCTCCAAATAAAAATTGTGCACCAAAGGAGCTATCATAGCTTTCAATTCCAACAAACCGAATCGTTGACCTAATAATATATAAAATTCGAAGTCTGTCGAAAACTATCAGCATGAAGAAAAATGAAATTCCCAACCAATTCACCTATGCAATTTCTCGGTCCTGCGCTGAATGGTAGGTAGGAATAAGGATGACGATTTCGTATATTTTCGGGCAAGAATCTATCAGGATCAAATACTTCTGGATTTGGCCAAAAATTAGGATCTCTGTGAACTCCGTAAATATTAAGATGTAAGATTGTTCCAGCAGGTACGATATATGAATCTGAAAAATATAAGAAAATTTCAAAATTTACTAAAGTAAGATTTTTAAAAAAAAATATAAAATGTATATAATATTGAATTTTTAAAATGTAATATAATATATTAAATTTTACATTCGATAATATATACTTCGTGTTGTGACATATTCAAAAACATGTCAAATAAAGTGATTAATTACGTAGTTTTACATCTTCCGCAGTATTTCGTGATATTATAAACACGCTGGGATACAAACGTAGAGCTTCTCTTAAACATCTATCTAAATATGATAAATTTTGCAATGATTTCATCGTAAGTTTCCCTCCGTTCTCTTGCATCACGGTATTAACTTCTATCCTCACACGTTCCTATGTCATCGATAACGATTAAAATATATTTTTTAATTTAGGTTTTTATATGCATAAATATAAATAAATTTATAATAAATCATAACATATTGTTTATATTTGTTTTGAGATGTTTTTTCGGAATTTATATATTGATGTATGTATAGAAAAATACATTGTAAATAAAAACTTGATATTTGTACTTTGAATAAAATTCTCGATTTAAATAATATATTGAAGTATACCTGAACATCTTTATGTTCAGCTAATAATAACAAAGCAAACATTATACCCGCTGCTGTAGTATCATGACCCTGTAATCAGATCATCATATTGTTTTATGTGCTTAGATAATATGTACAAACAATTAAAAAAAATATTACATATACGTACTTCAAACATGAAAGTATCGACTTCCTCTCTTATGTCCAAATCAGTTAAAGAAGTTTCTCGAGATGCCGCTATTAATAGGTCCAACATGGCTAGCCTTTTCTTTTTAACTAGAAATAAGCAAGGCATATTAGCATCATTTTTGCATATCGTGCTTTAACTATATAACATTGTTCTCGTTTAAAATTTAAACTTTCTTGCAAATAGTAATAATTTATTCTTATAGCGAACATGTATTGCATCATTTCGTGTAAGTATACATATATGTTTAATGTAAATAGAGTATAATTTATAATTTTAGATTGTAAAGTCGAATTTAAGTTAGAAGCTCTGAGTTCTCACATA